ATATGACAAGAAACACGATGAAAATAAAAGAGGATGGATATGATTGAAAACCATAATAAATATTTTATTTATAAAGACCTTGAAAGCCCATTTGCCTAATTTTTCTTTAAAAATCTAGCATCCTATTGAATTCGGAATATGAACTGCAATCTTAAAGTTTGACTAATAAGAAGTATAAAAGCCCATCGTTTTTTGCAGGCCCGTTTTCACTCTCACCGTCTATTGTCTTAATGTTCGTAAAACTTTTTGTTCCACTGGCAATTTCTAGTTGCATCCGAGCGAACAATGGCAATCAATCAAATGAGCAATCGATCAGATTGTGGAGATACAACCCAGCCAACCCAACTACCCATGGCACCACTCTAGATACGGATATCGGTGGAACTTCTGCTGCTTTCACAGCCATTAGGAGTGACTCACCGGATCGAATGTGGCTTTTCAATTGGGCCAGACCAGTGCAATCACTAGCCCCACACGACACTTTGAATAAATCAAGATATTCCACTGTGATTTGAGGAACTTTAAACGTACCTCTTCAGGGGCATATAACTTAAACATATATGTATTGTCAAACCTTTGACGATGTTTTGCTGCCTCCGGCTTAAATTTGAGAAATCATCGATTTGGCCAACGAAGGGAAGTGGGTTCCATTGTCTGAGCCACAACAATTATTCGCCAGTTTGCTTTGGTCAACTTCAATGGCACCACTGGGCTTTGGATCCAAAAACGAGTCTATTAAACTGAATGATTTAAAGATGTCGGCACCGAAATTGCTGAACAATGCGACGATTCGGTTGCCAATGATAGTTTAAAGGTTTAATCATTAGAAAGTCGATTTAATTAACACCAATAAATATATAGACCAATAGTCTAGAACAATAAACATGGCAATTAAAATGGTGTCGAGGGCGAGTTGGCAAATCTTTATCTTTACTGATAAGATTTCAGCAATTCTGTTTTGCATGTACACCGTTGTATGATTTTTGTGTTATAACAACGTAAACAACCCATTTCGATACTGAAATCTAGTGATCAATTATGATACGGAAGTGTGCCTGAGCACTGATCTATAGCCTAGATATATTTTTGCTAATAAAAACGTGACTTGAATCTATGACTAATCAAATGCCACAACAAATTCAATTCAGTTCAAAGCACAATCATATGTTTCCAAATACCTTTCACTACCTTATTAAAAAACCCTCTTTTGACATCAACTATTTGCTTAGCAAAAATATATCTCGTAAAAACTATCTTATCGCACTTGCAATAAAACTACGTAGTTTTTGGATTGGATGATTGAAAGATAACTAACAGAAGCCCTTATAAGGTGCGATGAACGAAACTGCAGTTTCTACCAAATCATTTTAGTATTGTTCGCTGTTTACCTAACATGTGAACCTATAATTTTCTACATCAATTAATAGATATTTCTTGAATCAAATGGGTCGCAGTGGAAACTATTAGAGTTTTACTTGTAAGCTCGCGAGTTCAAGCTTCAATTCGTTTATTTTAACGATGTTTCCCAGTGATATGGGAAATACTTATACTATATACTATATACTATACTATATATACTTAATTTTAATAATTGGGAAATCGACCATCAAAGGTGTTTCTTTCGATTAGTAAATACGTAGACTTACCGCTTTCCGCCGCACTCGAGCACCTTGGATCGCTCCCAGCCGCCCTCAGTTTTGATCCAAGTTTCGCCCGGAGACCGAAAATCTTTCGAAATGAACGCCATGTCTTACGAGTCTGGATTCAAATTCGGAATCTGAATGAGCTGCTTTTGTTTCGTTGCACTAATTTCTGAACGATCGCTTTATTGTTTTCGCGTGAGATTGTAGATTTGTATTGTTTGTTTACTTTTTACTGTTTAAGCGGACGGTGGTTGACGAAACGCGTTTGATTTAGCTGCAAGAGGGAATTTCATAATTAATTGCAATTTTCAGGTGCCACGTAACAACACAAAATGTGCTTGATTCGGTGGGGAAACGAAATATGTATGTATATAAAATGGAACTATAAGAGGAATTTAAGGAAATGTTTAACCTATAGGTACATTTTTGTTACAGTTTTCATCATCCCAAAAATTATAAGATTACAACTGTAAATATCGCATAAAAATATCAAATGCTTGAAACTTGTATTTAAAAAAAAATACAAATGAAAAATGTTTCGATTAGTTAAATATATCTTCTTCTTTTAACTAATTTCGAAAAGGGCAATGGCCGTTGTATTATCCCAATTGTTTAAAAATAAAAATTGTTAAAAATTAAAAATTGGGCACAAGAAAAATAAATATTTTAAATGTTTATATTTTTCACTATAAACTGAGAACCCATTTAAAAGATACCCCATAGCGAACCCCCAAGAATAAATAATAAGCGTTGCAATGAAAACCAAAACAAAAACAAAAGTTAGTCCATAAAAGGCAAAAACAAGAGGAGAGCCCAGAGAGAGAGAGAGAGAACGAGAGAGAGCGCTCCACGACCAGCTGTTGGGTTTCCATGGTCGTCGGCTGAGGGGGGTGTTGGGGTGCGCGGGGGCCCTGAAGTGTTGTGGCCCCTCTCTTTCTGGGGCTCTGCTTCGTCCGTAGGTACACAGCTGATTTCTGCAATTACGCGTTTGTTTTGCCTTTGTTGTTATTGGCCGTAAAATTTTCAGAGCCGTTTTCCAAACACGCAACCGAATTGGTACTTTCATTTCCGCATTTCAAAGTCAACGTAGTGTGGCTTTCGTTGCCACCCCAAACCCAGGAATCACAAAACTCACGGATCTACGTACTCGAGTGAAAATGGAGCACGTTCTGGAAATGCGGAAAACGCAGTTTTCCCCCAAGCTCTAATTACGCACTATGCAGCGCAATTACCGAGGAATCGCTGTGGCTGGCTTGCAGGCAAGTAATGGCGCACTCTGCCTGGAAAAGCGATTTTCACTGCCGCACGTCACGTCGCACTCGAGCCACCAACGAAAGTGAACTGCCAATTTCACAGGGCCCCAAATCGAGGAAAACTAAACTATGCACTCGTTGTAACGGACGCAAACGCGCATCTCGATTTAGAGGGGCCGTAGGAGGGGGCGCCAAAAAATACCACGGTCCGCGGAGGCTGCCATCTGAAGTTCCACGGGGTCCAGTGCTGCCGGATCAGGGAATTGTGGTCATGATGCTTTCAAAAATAGACTGAATCATAAAATCTTATTATTATTTTTTGGTTTTAAATGTCTAATTAAGCAAATGCCTGTAAAACCTTCAAGCATTTATTTCTTTTTGTAAGAATTTTTATTGAAGAAGAAAAATTAACTGTGTACAATTATTTTGTATAACCTCCTGGTTAGCTCATAATTTTATTTATTTGTCAGCACTTCATGAAAAAATAATTAAAACATAAATAAACCAGTGGAAAACTTCCAGCCTCAAAAGGTGCCGCAGTGGAAACAGGCTGTAAGGCCCAGCCAGCGGTGTCAGTGTGACCTTATGTAATGTATGTACTATTCGTGTGTGAGATTTCATAATTCCCAGATCGACAAGGAAAACACGAATAAAACCCCATTTAGCAGCTTTTATAATGTCGGCATCGGAGCAGGGACCTAAGATCAAATACGGCGAAAGCGCTCCGAAGCTGGACAAGGCGCAGCTGCAGTTCATGAAGCTGATTGAGGAGCAGAACCTGGACCGCGTGCAAAAGCTAAAGCGCATCCGCCGCAACAATCTCCTGACCGCCGGCGCCCTAGGAGTCTCCGTTTTGGCCATCTACGGCTACTCCATCTTCTCGGTGCAGCAGGAGAAGTTCCTGGACGACTTCGAGGAGCCCAAGAAGGTGTCTTCTTAGTTCCAGTCGTTGTTAGTTACCCCTAGTACGTAAGCGTTTTCTTCATTTTACACACCGTTTTTACACCTTTGAAGTCGTTGCACAACAGGGTGAGTCAGGATATGATCTTCAGTTGGCCATTTTTATAAATATTGTATCCTACAGATGACCCAAGCTAGTGCCCGTGTGCTTCAGAGCGGCATGCGCCTGCCTCCCATGCCCACAATTCGGGAGCTGGTGAAGCTCTACAGGCTGCAGGCCAGGAAACAACTAAGTCAAAACTTCCTCATGGACGAGCGGCTCACGGACAAGATCGTCAAGTCAGCGGGACGCATCGATCCAAGGGATTTGGTACTGGAGGTGGGTCCCGGTCCCGGTGGCATTACTCGCTCCATTCTGCGCCGCCAGCCGCAGCGGTTGGTGCTCGTTGAGAAGGACCCGCGCTTCGGCGAAACACTGCAGCTGCTCAAGGAGTGTGCCAGTCCCTTAAACATCCAGTTCGACATCCACTACGATGACATACTGCGCTTCAACATGGAGCAGCACATCCCGGACACCTCCCAGAGGATCCATTTGATTGGCAACCTCCCCTTTGCTATCTCCACTCGGCTGCTGATTAACTGGTACGCCGATTTGGCCGCTAGACGTGGTGCCTTCCGGCGCATTGACACCTGCATGACTCTGACCTTCCAGCAGGAGGTGGCTGAGCGAATTTGTGCCCCTGTGGGCGGTGAGCAGCGCTGCCGGCTGTCGGTGATGTCGCAGGTTTGGACGGAGCCCATTTTGAAGTTCACCATACCAGGCAAGGCGTTCGTTCCGAAACCGCAAGTGGATGTGGGCGTCGTGAAGCTCATTCCTCTAAAGCGCCCCAAGACGCAGTTGCCATTTCCTCTCGTGGAGCGCGTAGTGCGTCACATCTTTAGCATGCGCCAGAAGTACTGCCGCCGCGGCTATGGCACTTTACTTCCACCAGATGATCGCGAGGAGGTTACGCAGAAGCTCTTTCAGCGTGCCGAAGTGCAGGATACGCTGCGCCCCTTTGAACTAACCGTTGATCAGTGCTTAAGATTAGCGGAAGTCTACTCGGAGCACTTGGTGGCCCATCCCGAGGTAGCTGCCTACGATTACCGGGCGCCCAAGAATGTAGAGGTCCTCTAAAGCAACGATTTCACTCCTGTTTATAAATATGGTAAAATGTATTTAATTAGTTGAGTAAACAAGACTCTAAAAGCTGTAAAGCCAGTCAAAAAATTGTACAGTGTGCGGACGGAATGTTGGACGAGATTCGTCGTTGTTTCGTGAGTTAGTAAGGCACTTGGGCACTCCACTCTGGGGGAGATTCTAGCGAAGGAGCAGGGCAGTGGCCAGGGCGAGCAGACCCATCAAGGCGGACACCTGCAGGCCACTGGCTCCATTGCATCGGTGATCCAGGAAGCAGAAGCAGAATTTGGTGTCCGTGAAGTAGTCCCTTTTCACATCGTGCTCCTTGATCGTGTGGTTGACGTAGTTCGCCAGCTTTTCATCATGGGCGGCGGGACGACAGCCCTCGTACTTGTCGGCGGGAATGTCCTTGCGGAAGCTCAGGGCGCTGAGGCAATCGCGAGTGATAGTTTCCTGGGCTGCAATGGATTGGGGCTCAGGTCACGCGACAAATACAAATAAATCCTGCTTACCGCCGCGTTGCTCGATCAGCTTGACGCAGATATCGTTTGGCTCTGGGCAGTGCTCGCCCAGGAATCCTATTCCCCGCCAGTTAAAATTCTCTCCACATCCAGGAGTCGCCGAAGTACAGCGGTAGCACCAAATTGCAGAGCCTGTCAACAAATAGTTGGGTGATTACACATAGGGACTTGGTGTAATCGTCCGAAAAGCCACTTACCTTCGTGAACTAGAGCTGCCAGCAGCACCACTGCAATGAGATTCGTCTGGGAATGCATTTTCACTTAAGTTATGGAATGTATATCGGGGTTTCTTAACAAAATAAGATAAATTCACAAACGTAAATAATAAGCTGAACAGAAACGCCCTACGGAGAAGTGTGACCAACGCCTGATCGGGAAAAGGTGAGAAAAATATACCATCTAGTAAAATACTTTTTATACCATTTTCTATTTAATGCTGGTAGTAATACCAAATAAGTGTTGGTTAACATTTTTGATTTGGCGCCAATAGCTAGTCCCTTATAACAGTTATTCAAAAAAAGCAATATACCCAAAGAAGATTTGTACTTTATTAGTATATTATTACATTTATTAACAGAATGATGTTGAATTGGAATATATGAAAAGCATTTATTGCAAGCACGTTTATAAAATCTATCACAGTCTTCTAACTATTCAAATCTTTTAAAATTTCATAATTAAAGTATACACCAGGAAAACTAGTAAAAGTTTAAGATGAATAAACTTGTTAGGAACCCTTGAAAATATATTACTTTTTTAATGTTGTTTGCTAATAATTAGAAAACCGGACAGAGTAACGGTTAAAAATTAACGTAATGCAAAAGGGAAGCACCTCCGTTAATTTATTGTGCATAAAGTAACACTTGCCTCCAATAAACGAGTAAGTTCCGGCACACTTAGCATGTCTTTATGACCAGAAGCTAATAAAACTAAAACTAATACGTATACAAACCGTTCCAGGTAGTCCCCTTGTAATTGCTTTTCTTTATTGGATTTTAAAGTATACGGTCAGTTTCTATTTTGGGAAATCCACAGCTGGCCATCTGGATTGCTTCTTCCCCGGCATTTCCTGTTGAGTCTAATAAACCCCGGGCCATAAACTTAGCATTCTCATCAGGCGCAAAGTCGTCAAGCCGTTGGACTCTCCGAGCAATAAACTTTTGATCGTATTTGGAGCTGGGCTTCGGATCGTTTCACATGCGGTATGTGCGATGTTTGCCCAACGAATGGTCCGCAGATGAGTCAGCCAGCAACAATCTTGTGGCTTATTGACAAAGTCCAAAAAAAGAAGAGCGCGTAATCCGGTGGACTGCGCAAATAAGCTCCAAATTTGGACATGACTCTGCCAATCACGTTTCCAAGTCAATACGCTAAAGCAAACATTTGCATATTTTAGATTCTTTATTACTTCGCTTAAACCTTATGGACTAAACATAGTTGTTTGATGGTTGTTAGTCATTCTTGCAAATATCGCATACAGGGACTTTTGAATAAATCAAAACAAATTGAATTATGTTCACACGTGAAAACATTAAGGGTAGGGAAGGGGGTTTTATGCAGATAATGTGTTATTTACAAATTAAAATAAATAAATTATGAATGAATCACGCACGCACACAGTCGCTCTCTCTTTCACTCGCTCTCTTTCGGGCACTACAGAACTACGAATACATTTCATGTAAAATCACGTTTCAGTTGCGGCTATATAGGATAGACATATATTTATGGACAGCCGATCTACAGCGAGACGATAAAGTCCTTGCCGGTCTTGAAGTCGACGCACTTGAACTGCGGACAGCACTTGGGGAACCGCCAGTTGGGGTCGCTGGGCAGCTCCTCGCAGCCAGGGGCCTCTATATAGGGACAGGTCTCGATGCTGATCTCGCGGGCCTCCAGGCTGCAAGTCATCGCCGCGCAGATGCCCTTCGGCTTGTACTCCTTGTCGGGCAGCAGGGCCTTGCGGGTCAGCTTGTCGAAGCACTTGCCGGGATGGGCTGCAAAACAGAGGGGAGATCCGGATTTAGTACACAGGAATTATATAATGTCAAAAAAAATAATATCCATCATTTGTATTTCATATATGAAGTAAATTTGTATGGCTCTGCAGGTAAACCCACAATTAAATATCATTTTCTAGAGTCTAAAGCTTATTTTTGTCAATGGCAATATAATAGATTCCTTTGTGGCAACCAATAAAAATTGTTTTCAGTTTACTGTGTTGCAAGCGGAAGTGGACAGTCTTCTTTGTTGCTTCCCCGAAGCTGTCGTAGTTGCTGCGATTTATTTATGCGCTGTACCCTGTCTTGCGAGCTTATGAGGAAGTGGCTATAAATCGTGATTGTGCCCGAACGAAATTTAAATACGTGCATGCATATCGCAGACTGGGTTACAAAAAACGAAAACAAACCAGCTCCAGGGGAGAATAAAAACGATTGTCCTTTAAAAATAGTGTATTTTTGTTTATTTTTCCTGATGTTTTAAATCTCAATAAATAAAATAAATAGTATACATATATTCCTTTTCTAAGACATTGATAAGCCAATGGAAATTTTCGCCTCTCGGGACGAGACCTATTTTTATAACTATCCATCCACATCCATGACTTGCACGGACCAAACGAAAGACTTAAGGCACGAACTTGACAGTCATTTGACATGAAAATTGGCACACAAGTGCTGGGCGGGATAAAAATACATCTGAAAACAAGAGCTATGGACTGCCTGCGGTTGCGGTTACCAGTTGAGTCCAGACTGGCATTTATTTTTAAACCTCGAGCACCCAGGCGAGCTGACAGATGGCGATGGAGCGTACGGCGTACTCGTGCTTTTATTTATAACGAAGTGCCTGCGGCTGGGAATTGTTGAGTTGTTGTCGGGTTCAAAAATAAATTACCGAATAGAAAGGTAAGTTTGATTAATGACACTCGCCATTAATTTACCACTCGAAGAGCAGAAGAACACGCATTCCGACCAATTGTGCAATTAATCGCCGGCAGCGTGAACTCATCGCCTATTTTTAAGCACTCGGCGCTAATTTCTTATAGATTAGTGAGCCAGTCGAAATTCCCAGCCAAAGACGTCTGACGACCTTCACACATGAATAATTCAGCAGCAGGAAAATATCTATCCAGCGATCTGGCCAGGGGATAATCGATAAGTTTTCTAACTTAAGTCCGCATAGCGATGCAAATTAGCCGAGCGCTTGAATAATAACCACATCAGCACATTTCTTATGCTAATTTTTGGCAAATGCGAAAAAACCCAAAAACCGAAATTCATATCTATCTCTATTTGTATCTGTATCCGAATCTGAATCTGCTATACAACCGAAAGGGGGCCAATAACATGACAAATTTCATCTGATTTCAGCTCTTGTTGTTTTCGTTTTCGTCTTTTGCGTCGTTCGATTTCATTGTTTTCTTTTGTTTATAACTTCGATTTGTGTTTGTTGACGTCAGCGAAAGCGGTCAGAAATCACAAACAAATCAAACCATAAATCACATGTCCAGCAACGTAATCATAAACAAATACTGCCCGACATCTGACGTCAAAGTTTTGTCTTTGGCCAAAAATTTGGCTTCTTTTGGGTAGCTAAATTCCTAATGAGAATGAGCTAATGGCAGACCTCGCAAAATCATCGTCACAATCGTAAATCAATCACGAAATCCCCTGCCAACCACTATAAATTTGTAGTTTTTATTGTTTTTCGTGGCTCGAAAAGGTCGCCTATTAAGTGGAAACTTAATTAGAAAACCCCATAAGCAAGCATCGACTTAATGGCATTTTTCAATCATATCAATACCCCTGCCACTTTAATCGAAACATTAATGGAAAGCTCACGACTTTCTCAATGCCGGTATAAAACTTATTGTTCTAACAACATTAGGGGTCATCGTTTAAATGCCATAGCTTTTAGCAGAAATGGGCATTAGTGTGTAATACACACTGTGTAGTACTTCAATCTTAATTTTTTGTCAACTGAGAAAAATAGAAACAATTGTATCCTTCTATTTGTAATCCCAATATTTAACTGACATTCCCAACCAATTAAAGGTTCTTAAAGTGTGCTAATGGTATTTTTTAAGTAGGTCCTTACCAGGATGGAAGATGGCGGGCTGGGAGTAAACGGCTGCATCCACAACGCTGGCGAAGATTGCGAGGAGCGCGATGGCGGCACAAACTTTATCCACTTGCATTTTGCAGTTGATTTTTTTGTATTTTAGGTTGTTAAAAATTTTGATAATATTCTATACGACTGGACTCGATTCCACTTTCGTATTTTTGATCACTTGCGATGTTTTGCGCGTTTAGCTTGGGGCTTGTTTTGAAAGCTTTTTGAAGAGCTGTGTACGGTCTGAAACTCAGTCACCAACTGAAGCTACCTCGGCGGGGCACCCATATTTAAGTGAGTCGAAATCGAGAGGCGCAGAGAGCCCACGATCGGGCTATATCTCTCCAGATCTGGCTCTCGTCACTGGGCCGAAGCATATGTTTTCTTTTTGGTCGCGGGGGCTTGGGATATTCCGGAGTTGGGCGAGCGCCATAAATCTCACGGCCCTCGTCCCACTCGGCGGCCATTTGGAGAGCTATCGCCATGAGCTGGCGAAATGCTTTTACCCCCCAATAAGCCGGCCATTGTTCTGCATTATTTTGCAGTTTTGCCCAATTAATTATCCGGCCTCCCCGAAATGGCCTGGTAAGTAATGGGCCGAGTCTGGGTCTGGGTGTGCCTAGTGCTGGAATGTGGGGTCGCCCACCCCTGATCTTCATAAATGGCAGTCCTCTTAGGGAACCAAACCCCATTTAGCCGACAATTGTCGAGGCGCATCGAATGGCCCGCTAACCGAGCGAATCTCAGCTAAATGCGGCTGAAAGATCTTACCAAATTTGGCTGCACTGACGACCGCAGTCGGTGCTTTGAAGATCTGTTAAATACTCAGGGAAAATATTGACAACTGATGCCTGAAATGGTGTTGAAGATTGAAGAGTAGGAGTTCAAAGAACAAATGATATATTGAAAACATGTATGAAAACGACATACTGACATAGTGTTCTGTTGAATGTTTTGTTAAGTAGTTGAATGTGTTTTTTGTTTTTTTCTATACAAAAAAGTATTTAATATTTGCAATAATAAAATGGAAATTTACCAAATATTTGCTTAAATTAACTAATTTAATATTGCAATTAAGGCAAGTTATAACCATTTTTAATTTACCCCAACAGTTGGCAATAAAAATCTCATAAAAGTTTTGGTGTCAACAGCATTTTACCTGATTTCTGAATGTTTGAATCGAGTTTCCGTGCTTTCACCCACCCCCACTTTATAAAGTGCTACACTGAAATAAACGTATAACGTATTACAAATAT